AGCTATCATGTCTTGGGTTCGATTCCCGAACGAAGCATATCATTTTGTTTTTCTGAATGAAAAATTCAAACATCGAAAGATAAAAGGAAGAAAAAGTATATCATATAAAACATGTATAACTGCTTTCTAATATCTAATATGAGTATATGTGTTCAAATAAAAAAAAAGATTTTCATTCTATAATAAACGTTAACCAATAGAGTAATAGTTGGAAAACTCATAATTCTCATGTATGAGTAATATTCTTTGCATCAGACATTTCTCTCATACTACTGCAAATATTGACGACAATAGATTGGTCAAGTTACTTGCTATGACTCATAACAATCAATACAGGGAGGGGGCCTTAAATTAGACAGAACGTTAAAAAACGCACGAGACATAGACCAAGTCCCTACACTTGAAATATTTTTAAAACTGTATGTTACGTCGCAGAAAACTATACAGTTTTCTGGAACGTCATGAACACTACAATGAAACGATCATGAAATTAAATCAGCAAAAACAATAAAAACCTGCCATATACGATTTTTCTAGATTATGTAAACCGACCAATGAAAGCAAGGTTATTATGCTAGCATAAAGTAAATTCGCAACAACAGCAAATCAAAAGATTGTGTATCTCATGTGATAGTGTAGACAAATTTAGCAAACAATTTACTAGGATTTTGAGCTGCAATTATTTTCCGCGTGGCAGTAACTATTATAGGAACTGTACAATTTTTGGCAACGTTCCTCGTAGATCTTCCCATTGACTATCCACAGCAAATCGAGATTGAGAGCGCCACAACAGCGTTTTTTTCACAATTACTCAAGTTCTATAGCATCCGGGGGAAAGACCAACATCTTTCATAGGAAATGCACAAAACCTGAAAGAATTTCGAAACCACAACCAGAAATATCTATTTACCACATCCTAGATAGTTCAATGCATTGTAAATATGAAAATCGAAACGGTCATCTATCTGTGAAAACTCAAATCCTAACTGAAGCAATGAGCACCTCACATAGGACCCTCAAGTGATCTCTCACAAAAAACTATGAAATCGTCGCAGTACAGCACCCCTGTCACTGGAATCAGACGAATGCTGAAACTATAAAATGTAATCTTATTCTACTATAGCAGATCCTTTCTCATAAAGAACATTGTGAATACAAAAGAGTTACCAGAGCGTATTCATGATCTGCTAATACGATTAGAACGTACAGAAACCCAATATTCTATCGCGCTCGTAACGATAAATTACAGTCATTCTTCACTTATTTCTATGCCTCATGCAGATGCGCTATCAGAAGAACCGCATATCAAGTAAATTCAAAGGTATCAAATACATATCAACATTCAAACTGAGCTCACTTTCAGAGAACTTACATACAATCCATCATAATCAGCTTACACTCGGACCTACCTTATCAACTTATATAGACACGAGTAACTCAAAAAAAAAAGGTGAATGCTTAGTGACCAAATCCTAAAATCGATTATAATCAGATAAAAATCGGACTTACCCTATTGACTTATATAGACATAAGTGGCTCAAAATAAAAAGGTGAACGTGTAGTGACCAAATCCCGAAATCCATTATAATCAGATAAAAATCAGACTTACCCTATGGAATTATATAGACATGAGTAACTCAAAATAAAAAGGTGAATGATTAGTGACCGAATCCCGAAATCCATTATAATCAGATGAAAATCGGGCGCACCCTATCGATTTATATAGACATAAGTAGCTCAAAATAAAAAGGTGAATGATTAGTGACCAAATCCCGAAATCCATTATAATCAGATAAAAATCGGGCGAACCCTATCGACTTATATAGACATAAGTAGCTCACAATAAAAAGGTGAATGTTCAGTGACCAAATCCTAAAATCGATTATAATCAGATTGAAATCAGACTTACCCTGTCGGCTGATATAGACATTAGTTAGTCCAAATAGAAAGGTGAATAAATGGTGATCAGATCCTGAATTATATTGACAAAAGGTTGATTAATAAGATTGGTCGAAGAATTGTCTGTGTTATTGAAAGGGTAAGATGAGACCATCCTTATGTTAGTGCTAAGCTTATCGGGAACGTACTTTGGAGTGATGGGTATGTAGAAGAAGTGGTGCTACTCATCGATGGGAAAAGCCTATTGCCAACAATGGTATGTACATTATTAAGTTATGGCAACGGACTAAAAGAGTTTCAGAAATATGATTATTCTTATATCAGATAAGCAAAATATAATAGTGAATTAATACCAAATGACTTCTAGAATTTTCTCACAACTGGTGAGTGGGATTTGAGAACAGCTGTTCGGTGTTATGTTTAGGGAAGCTGTAATCATGTGCAATCAATAGGAATGACTAGCAAAGATGATCCATTGGGCAAGTGATATATATGCCGTATTCCTTGTAACCATGTCTGTAGTAAGTAAAGATTGTGCTTATCGGCAAGGCGACTTCGGGAATTGATTATACTGGTACCACATGTATGTTTTTGGAGGCAACGCGCGGAATAGGTTGCTAAATATGTAGGTATTTATGAATAGCAGCTACAACTCTGGCGACGTTCGATTAAAAGAAGTGAAGTCATGTCTTCCCCTTCTTCAGATTCCTTTTCTGGTGTGGTTGGTGGTTTAGCGATGGGATATATAAGGAATTTGTGATGCAGGAGGTGTATGCTTAGTATATTTAGCACTTGACTGTTGTGTTATTTTCCCATCCATCAGCTTATGGTCTCTGTTTCCCATGTGGATGAATCAGCGCGTGTCGATGACAGGCAGTTTCATATATTTTTGTTGAATATGATATAGAATCGTATGCGTTTCTGCACTGCCTTTTCTTCGTTGAGATTTTCTTAGAGATTGAGTTCTGTTAAACTCGGCACAATAGATTTATGAGAGTTCAAGTCTTCTCAATGCGAATCGCTCTCTCGTGTCACTACACCAGTGGGAAGATTACAATAAATTTATCTGTCTGAATCATATTTATAAGTTGTAGATCATAACCTATTGAAAGTTGAAGGATAGTACTTTCCCTTATTGAGGCCTTGAGAAATTTCCTTTCAGGCAACCGACTTCTTGATTCGGGTCCGATTTTGAGAAATATAATCGATAATGATTCCATCAATACGTAAAAATCCATTTTTTCGAATACGGATCTTAATGGTGGCCATAGATTGGAATCGATCTTTTTATTTGAATCCTATCTTCAAACATCTAACTCGTAATGATTAACATAAAATCTTACAATCAATTTTTTACACATGGAGGCTTTTACCCATTTCCTCGATTAAAATCGATTTCTGGATGAGAATACATCTTTTACACATGCAATCGAAAATAATTGGTTGAAAAAGTAAGAATCAAACTTTTCCTGATTGAGATTTTAAATTTCTGACTAGATTAAAATCGATTCCTTGATTCAAATCCTATTTGCAAAAATGTCATCGATCATAATCGAGAAAAAATCAAAGAATCGAATTTGTGCGGATTGAAATTTTAATCGATTGACCAGATTAAAATCAATTTCCTGATTCAAATCTAATTTCGAAACATGACATCCATCATAAGTGATTGAAAATCTTCAAATCTTAGCCTTATCGATTGAAATTTTAATCGATTGACCAAATCGAAATCATTTGCTTGATTCAAATCTAATTTTCAAAGATAAAATCCATCATAATTGATTGAAAATCTATAAATCCTAGTCTTACCGATTGAAATTTTAATCGATTGACCAGATTAAAATCAATTTCCTGATTCAAGTCTAATTTCGAAACATGAAATCGTTCATAAGTGATTGAAAATCTAGGAATCGATTTGTTTTTATTGGAATTTTAATTGATTTATGTGATTACAGTAGATTGGTGGATTTAAATCGGGTTTTCTGTTAGAAAATCAAAAATAATTTATTGATTTGAATTTTTTTTCAATCGATTTGAGAAATCTAATCGATTTTAATCGGATTATTGAACAAAAAAGGATTATTTTTGAAAAAAAAACGATTTTAGGAACGGTAATTAAGAAAAATTTGGATTATATGAAAAATTTTTTTCAGTGGGTCAATCCCATATTCTAAGAGGCTTTATGAGATCTATCCTATATAGGATAGATCTTCTAAAGTCTTTTAGACTACAGGATTGATCTTCTAAATCATTTAATAGAATAGGATGAGTGTACTGAATTCCTTTTAGGATATACGTTCGATCGACTTAATCCTTTTACGATATAGGATAGCTATCCTTAACTCTTTTTAGGGTATAGATTCGATCTGTTAACTACTTTTAGTGTATATGAGAGATCTCCTAAACCTTTTTATAAACCCTTTTGGGGCACGAGTAGATCTCCTAAACCCTTTCATAAACCGTTTTACGGTATAGAAATGATCTTCTAAACCCTTTCAAAAATCCTTTTAGAGTATCAAAATGATCCCCTAAACCATTTCATGAACCATCTTAGTGTATAGGAATGATCTCCTAAACCTTTTCATCAACCCTTTTAGTGTATACGAATGATCCCCTAAACGCTTTTTAAAAGGTTTAGGAAAGAGTATATTATTCTCATAAACCCACTCATACACCCTTCATAAGGGTATATGAAAGGGTATATTATTATCATAAACCCTTTTAGGATTTATTATTCTACGCTTTTTTTTTTACAGTGCACCCTAATACAAAATATGGTGAAATTCTTCGAGAAATTGAAAATAATGCGTTTACTATGATAATTAATTCAGATGGAGGTTCTACACCTAATAAATATTTATCATTGTGGCCATTTATTCTGACATTAAATGAGTTGCCAATTCCTGAGCGTCGATATTTGGAGAATATATTAGTCGCTGGTATTATGCCAACTGGAAAAAAACCAACTAATTCTGTCGTTCAAACTTGTTTAAATTTAATATATGAACAACTGATACAATTAGAATTTGGACAAGAATTTTTCATTAATGATATTGATCAACGAAAGATTATTCACTTTTACAATATAGCAAGTTGTACAGATAAACCAGCTGCAGCATTGATGGAAAATGTTGTACAATATAATGCTGGATATGGCTGTCCTAAATGCTTTCATGCTGGTATGCACATTGATTGATATTTTTAGCATGTACATCATTTTTTGAAATATTTTAAAACTTCCATGCAGTTACAAATCGCTTTGGAAATTTCCAAATTATCATGCTCTTGAAATATTTTTTGTGTATATTTAGGTGAACTATATCATGAACAACGACGTGTTGATGCTAACGAAGTAAAATTTACAATACGTGTTTATCCTTTTACTGAATTTCAACTTCGAACACAAGATAAATGTTCTCAAATTGTTGAAGAATTGGCTAATTATCCAAATCAAATTAATAATAATAATCCGGTTCGTATCAAGAAAACAACTACATTAGCAAAAATAAAAAACAAAAAACAAAAAAAAGAAGCTCATTACGGTCATCTTGGTAAGATTTCATACAATAGAAATTTATTAAAAAGAGCGATCAGTTTTGAATCCAAAATATTTTCGAGCAAAGAAACTCATAATAAAGAAAATATTTTATAAATAACCTCAGCTTTTTAACTACATGTTTTGTAAATAAAATATAATATATAAGAATAATTTTTCTTTGATAGTCACTAATTCGCAGAGAAAAGCAATTGAACATAGTCATAGCAAAAGATTATATATTATTCACATTTTAAAACTATGCAAATATATCTATCTTTATTATTCTAGGCTGTTGTCCATTGACGAAATTAAAGTATTTTAAGTATGGAGTATCCTTTTTTAACTGATTCTCTTCACACTGTTTATGCAGGTGCATTTAAACAACTTCTACACCTTCTATTCAGTTCAGAATATTGTCGAGAACGTTGGTCTTTATTTAAGAATATAACAGATATAGATGAGTTATTATTGTTAGTTCAAACTCCATCAACAACACAACGTCGATTTCGTTCTCTCAAGCTTATTGCTAAATATAAAGGAAGTGAATTCCGTTGCTTATTCCATTTTGGTTCAACAGCTATTTTACAACGTATAGATGATGATGAATTAAAAACATTATGATTATCATTTGTAACAGCAATTAATCTTGCATCAGCTAATTATGTAACAGATGAAAGTATTGAAGCTGTTAAAAAAATATTAAACTATTTCGTTCAACATTTTCAAAACATATTTGGTTTACGTCATATGAGTTCCAACATTCATTCTCTACTACATATACATGAATGTTTAAAATTTATTGATCCATTGTGGTTTTACTCTACTTTCGCTTTTGAAGGTGATTATATAATATATTGTTTTAAATTTAATTTTAGTTTTTCGTTACAGGAATTGACAAGGATTTGATAAGTACCGTTCACGGTACAACAGAATTTACTAAACAACTTATTCGACAAAACATCCTATATCGTGATGCTATCATTCAACATAATAATGAACGTTATCCAATGATATTATTTACATTCAATGAAGATTTACTTAATCGAAAACAGTCCAAAATCCATTATAAAAATTTTGTTGATTTATGTTATTTACCTAATTCTGTATCTAAAGAATTATATGATACAAGTGAAAATGGTATTGCTACACATGTTCAATCTTTTTTTAATGATGATTTAACATTTTATCATTCCTCAATAATATCAAGTGTTTTATTGAAAACTACAGTAGTGAAACATGGTAAATTAGTAGCTGATAGCTGTATTTCATTTCATTTTGCGGAAGATCAAACAAGATATGGACTTATTAGAGCTATTGTTAAATCAAAACAAAATAGTGTTCGTTTATTTATTGAAGAACTGATTGAAAAAAAACCTGAATCATCAAAATTTAAATTTAAAATAAATGATGAACAATATCAAATTCCAAATATACTTCGATTGAAACGTTCAAATATCTTTCATCTTAAACATCCGAAATATTTTTTAAAAAAGAATGCTATTGTATGTGAACCTGGTAACTGTGTTACAGTTTTAGAATATCCTAACTTGAAAGACAGTAGCTAAATAAATAAAAAATATTTTTTTTATTCACGTTTGAAAAAATATCTTGTTTATAATCATTGAAAATGTCCAAATATAATACTCTCAATTGCAATCTTATGAGTTACTGTTTCAATTCAACATAGCAACTTCAATCTTTTATCCCTTATTAAGATTTGTCTTTAATCAAAATACTTGTGATAAATTGGTATATGAAATTAGGAGTTTTTTTGACTACCGCAGAGTGTACACCACATCAGAAAGGCCAAGATTTATCGTTGATGAACTGCCAGATCATATGGTTCAACTGATTAACAAGAGAGGTATGTATCACGAAGTATGTATGTTCGAATCTAACTTTCATCTCTATATTTCTATCATTTAGACCAGTCTGGACGTCAACAGCTGATTCAACAAGATTGGTTTAGGACGCTATATGACGGTATAGGTGACTGGTGTAAGGCGTATTGATGGAAATATTTTTCAATTTTTCGAGCATTTCAGACGGTCGTCATGACGAAGCGTCAAGACTAGTCTTTTTTTCGAAAAGGACTCGTTCATGACTAGTCCGACGACTTCGAAACATAAAGTTCTATATCACATTTGTGCCGATTTACTAGTGTCATGTTAATCTATCACGACTAGTCTTTTTCTCAAAAAGTCCTCCTACATGACTAGTCCTCCTATTAGCGACTCTTTACTAGTCCCGGACGGGTCTCTTTGCGAAACAGACTAGACCTGTTAAAGACAATGACGCTCATCAATTGTATAGTCCGGACGGGCACTATGGACTACAACCTATTTCGGACTAGTCATGTAGTAGGACTTTTTGAGAAAAAGACTACACCTGACTTATAGTCAGGACTAGAAAAATGGCTAGTCTTTTTACCCGTCCTTTGCTCGCCTGGGTTTATAAAATATCTTCATTTCATTTGCGTTTTTTTCTGTGTATGACATAATCTCATGCTTGTCTAATCAAATGTTAAAGAAATTCGTAAGCAAAGAGATTCTATTAGTTTCACCTTTTAAAGTTGCAAAATGCCTAGCATTTTGATATGTTTCACGAAAATCTAGGTCGAATATTTTTTCGGAACTCTTGTCTCTTTCTAACTGATCAATTGATTTATGAACAACCACTTAGATACTAATAACCTCCGACAACAAACAGAACAACAAGCCTCTACAGTTCCATTCACTTTCGGTTAGTAGAAAAATAACATTTAAGTGTTAAATTTTAGAGACTAATCATGTTCCATCTTTAGCACCAGAGATATATGGAACAAACACATTTGATTTTGGCAACGATTTAGATGTACCATTAGTTGCTGAAAATTTAGCATCGGGAGTTAAATATCTAATAAATACACTAAAAACTATCCCATTACCAGATATTCACGATCAATGTCAGATTGAATAGCAAAAAATTGATACGCACATTGATCACTGCTTCAAATATCAGATGCTACTTCGTATTGATTCAATTCTTTGGTTTAAACATCATAAACTTCATACTAGTAATACAGAGGACGTAAACCAATTGTACCAAATCGGTTCTGATTACGCTGAAAAAGTTAAAACGGAAACTGTACATTATCCGAAAATCTCAGATGAAGGTAGCATAGAACGAATACCAATCAGTAACTCAAGACCAAAATGGTGCTCTAAAGAACAGAAAGGAGAAACATGTCAACGGAACGAAAAGTGTCCATGTTCTTATGGACATTATCCATGGTGTGATAATGAAATTGGTGGCACGGGCCAGTGTACAACAAAGCATTATATGAAAGTCATTCATACATTAGAGATCAAGAAAGATGACATACCTGTTTATCAATGTCGCCATCGAAGCACGAAATTAAATCGACAACAAGCATTTTGTCGATTTGCTGTAGATCCAAATTTTTGGATCTATGCAGATAAAGTAAGCAAATCATTATCATATCCATACTTTATCGTGGCGGCACGAAATGATGCAACACCAGTGATTACATAAAATCCTGTTAAACATTGTAGAAATGAAGAATATCTACAAAGTTCTGATGCATGGAAAGCTGTTTTGCAAACATTAACATATATGAAAGATCAATTAAAAGTTGATAAACTTCCATTGAATCATATTTATGTGAATTTTGGAAAATGGATGCAACAAAAAACAAATGATCCAACATGTCGAGATTGTCATGCTCATATAAATATTGTTCTCACTCGACAAACAATTGAAAAGATTAATGATATTAATCGATCTAAAGATACACGTCGTAAAGGTAAAAAATTATTTGGATGTCTTATTGGATCAGTTCTTCCACCAAAATCTCATCGTCTTGATGATGCATTGAAACTTATTGAACATATGAATAATCATATGGCACCTGTATTATGTCAACAAAATCGAGAATTACTAAGAAGTATCAGTATTCTGAAAAATGAATTAGAAATTCTTAAACAAGAAAACGAAAATCTTAGAAAATTGATCTTTGCTCCAATCGATGTTGCACAAGAGACAGAAGATTCGATACAAAGCACTGCTGCGGATGATGAAACAGGGATTAATGATAAATTATGTTAGAAATCTTATGATGGATAGAAAACAACCGGAACTTAACATTTTCCTAATTTATTTTCATTTGAATAACTAAAAGTTCTCAGAGAATGCCAATTGTAACAATAAATGAATTTTTTTGATCATACGTACATTTTTCTTTACGATTTTCCTGATTCTATATTATTTTCTTCAATAAAATGATCAACTTTATAACAAAACGTATTCCACATAAGTGAATAACGTAATTGGTAAAATAAATGTGGGGCAAGAGTAAATATAAAACAAGAGATTACGCATAAATGCGTCATTGTTATAAATTTTTAAATTGGTACTCATACTGATTTAGAAATAGCAGTAGAACATGGTCTTCCTTAATACGGAACGGTTCAATTGACGAGTTCATCATCTTCTTTTTTATGTGATGCTTGTTACTATACTCAGCAATGAAATATGTGTTTTAAACCTAACTATTGCTTATAATAAAACAAAATAATACGAATTACCCAATTAATAGTACAATAATAGAACTATATAACAGTGACAATACAATAGAACAGTTTATTAGATGTTTTGACTCTTACCGGAGCTATTGATTTGTTTGAAAAATATAGTCTTGGCGTGTAGTGTACTATACTGTATTCATTGTTAGGAATGACAACTGTGATGTATTATCCGTAATAGTTCATGTAGCTAGTTTTCACTGGTTATGTAAATGGAACCAGAAGGAAATGAGCTTTGTTCGATCGAGCAGAGCGAGTGTGGGTGTTGTTCATTTTTTTGCTGTCACTCACAGTAACTTAAGAGTGTGGAGGCTGTGAGTTTGGTTGTGCGTGTGCGCGTGACACATGAAGACAACGCTCCCGTCCATACATCTACATCCTCTTCATCATAGTAAATCACCACAAGATTTAAATTTTACTTGTATTGTTAGTTCTGTTTTATCAGCCATCATATCTAAAGCGTTAATTGATAAATTCATCGAAGAACCGACCATATTTCGTAGTGGTCAAGATAGTGCTTTTGTTTGGCTAGATAAAATCGAACAACAATCAAAAACTATGAATTTATGTGATTCTGATAGATTGATTTCAACAATATCAAGCACATTTAACATCCTGGTCCATATTTAACAATAAAATAGCTATACCGTTTAATTCCAACCTTCCACGTGATTTAGCTTTTCAGAAGCTTCAGTATTATAAACAAACGATTCATCAGTCAGCGACTCAATACTATCTTGACATGATGAAACTATTACAACAGGCTGATCCACCAATGAATGAATCAACCAAAACTAATTATCTAATGAATGGTCTTCTTCCTTCTTTATCTATTGAAACTCGAAAACATTATTCCACAACAACAGAAGAACTTTTAAGAGAAGTTAAATTTTTTGAAGAAGGGTGTGGATGTAGGTGTGGGCGTGGGGTGTGGGTGTGATTTTTGTCTA